CAACAGTTTATAGATGGGTAATTTGTATAACTCATGTAGCCTCTGGTTTTCCGCATGAGATGATTTTATGAATAAACGCCATGGAACTAAAAGCAATTTGAGCACATCTTCAAAAAAATGTTTAAATAAACATTATGATTTAACAACTTCTGCCAAGCACTGTCAAAAGAAGCAAGAAACGTGAATACTTTGTATCACAAAGTATTTGTATTCACATTCAGATGTGAAGTAGTCCCTCCCAGCGTGAAGTCTAAATACATTAGGGACTCAGCACTGTGACAGCCAGTACCCTGGAGATTATCTCTTTAAAGTGCAGAAACAGACTGAGAAAATTAATGATATGCTTGTGAGAGATTCAACCTAAATATCTGCATATAAATACAATAGTATTTCCTTGCAGATATGTAGTCCTATTTTCAAATTTGTTAAGATATATGGTAAGGAATGCTATTTTACTTTTGAATTCCCTGTTCGGTATTGCCAACTGATCAGGGCACCAGATACGGTTTTGCCCTGTATCAGAATGTTTGAATTTTTAAAATCACCTTAATATTTCCATGCCTGGAAGCAAATGCACACACACACACTTACTTCAATAAATCTTGATTCTGCACACTTGTGAAAAATTATCACCAAACACAAATTTAATAGAATGTTTTGAATTTTATTTTCCCAACAAATATCCACACCAGAGAAACACTAAATCCATTTCTTTTATTGAAGTATAATTTAAAATATATAAGATTAATATTTGGAACTCACTACTGATAAAGGACTGAAGATAAATTTTAAAAATACAAAATCACTGGGGCACCTAGGTGGCTCAGTAGGTTGAGCATCAGAGTCTTGATTTTGGCTCAGGTCATGATCTTAGGGTTGGGAGATGGAGACCCGGGTTGGGCTCTGTGCTGAGCATGGAGCTTGCTTGAGATTCTCCCTCTCCCTCTGCCCCGTCAACCTGCGCTCCCCTCTCCCCCCGACCCCTGCCAGCTCTGGTGCATGCCCACACTCTTTCTCAAAAAAAAAAAATACAAAATCAGTTTATGGTAGATAAAAAGGAATTCTTTAAAGTTATTGATTTACCTCAAATTCTTTTCTTTCAGTAGTTTCTGGGTACCTCTCTAAGACTGACTTCTCCCCTATGAGTGCTATGAAATCAAAGCACAGAGGTTAAGATAGACATTAACTTCTACGTGGGGCACTGTCATTTATCCCATCTAAATTAGATGAATCAACAAGCAAAATGCAAATTCTTCTGTCACATTAAAAACGTTACCAATATACATGAAACTGATTTAAAATGTGCTCATGGGACTTTAGTATGAGGATTGTAACATCACTCAGAGTCTTTGGTCAAGGTTGGAGAACAATAAAAAAGTTATAACTGTAATAATATTTCCAATAGTAATTGCCTCCATCCATGATTTCAGTGAATAATGTACATAGTTTTTGCAATCCTTTTTTTTTTTCATATTGTGCATTCGAACTGATTATTGGAATGTGATTTTATGTCTGTTAGGTCTAATAATAAAATTATTTCTGTTTCATTTCTCTTATATTTGATTTTTCTAGCAACTTCAATTTTTTATATTTCATATTTCATTGTATTTTACAAAAACGTAGATCATGGACATTTAGAAATTGAAAAAGAAACTGTCCTCTACCAAAGATGGCTTGAGAAATATAGTGTAAAATCCATTCCATATTAAAGATAAGGGAGAAAAGCCCTAGAAAGATTAATACTTTTTAATAGAAAAAAAATCAACTTGTAGCTAGATGCCCTAAGAATGTTAATAAATATCAAACTACAAAGCGGAGTAGTCTTTAGAGAAGTCCCACGGTGTGTTGGCGCTGAGCCCTGTCTTGTTAAAAATTTAATTAATAACCAGGAGGAAGACAGATAAGGGCATGGCTCTAAGATTTGTAGATGGCAGCAAGCTGGGAGTGATAACTAAAGCATTAGTAACAAAATCAAGAGAAAAAAATGGTTTTGACCATCTGTTATGCTGTGTAGAAACCCAGACAAAATTTTATAGAAATCTAATGGAAGTCTGGTACTTTTTAAAACTTGGTGGTGTAATTTCAGGAAAAAAGGAAACCTTAAAACAAAAACAAAAACCCTATAGATTTGAACTGGACTTACATGGACATTGTGATTAGCAGCACGAGGTCCTACAAATTCTAACAGAAAGACACCCAATTTGCAAAAGAGGTCAATGGGTGTTCTATTTCACTACTCTCCTGACTCAAAGAACAATCTTCAAACTATATTTTTATTTCTGCCTTTGTCAGATGTAAAGGATGTTTCTTGCCATCACAAACAGCTCTCAATTTGTCCAAGTCCTAAACCTAATGGCCTGAGGCCACAGGTGTGATCCAGACCTTCAGTGGTGCTTCCTCCAGTTAAGAAGGGCTGCAGGATTTCAGGTGCAAGAGGAGAGCGGGGCAGCATGTCTGGGGCACAGATGAGAGCCTGCCTGTGCCAAGCTGACGCTCGACAGATGACAGGCTGACTCTGGATGTCGGCTGCTCTCCAGGAGGACAGCGAGAGTGCCAGCTTGGTGCGCAATCCCCTTCCACGTCTCTCCCCGTGTTGTGACTGAAGGTCGATCGGCCTTCACCACTCAGGAGTTCGGTTCTCCATCTCTTCCCCCTTGGATTCTCCACCTCTTCTCTCTTCCTTTTCCTTTCCCCTCTCCGTCAGCTAACAAAACAGAAATCATACTGAATGCACTGGGCCCAGGTGCGCAGCCGCATGTGTGGCCAAGGGGAGGGGACCGCCGGGGAAGCCACAGCGCACCTGCTACCTCTCTTGGCTTCTCAATTTTAACTGATTTTTTTTTTTTTCCCAGAGAAACGTCTCATGACTATGTTAATATTAATAATAATTCATAATCTCACTATTAAAACATCTGTTATATTATGGCATATACATATGACATTTATTTGTTTTATCAGGCTTTAAAGAAATTTGGGGGTGACAGTAGGCAACCCCAAGCAATCCTCTCCCATGCCTCCATCTCCCCATTTCTCAAATGTGGACAATAATAGCATCACACCACGTTTTTATATCCATATTACTGGTTTTATTCAGATGCGATGGTCCAAGTGCCCTAAATTAACCTCCACCTCCAAGAGGTTGCCAGCAAATTCCGAGAGCTCCGCAGAAGGCCCCTTCCTGTGTGTGCAGGGCTCGTCCGCTCACGTTCTTCCTGCCGCCGCTGCCTCCTCCGCTGTGACCCGCTGGGGTGGGGGGGAGACCCCCCCGTCCGTGGAGTGGGACCCCTGGTGCCCACACTTGAGGCCCCAGCAAGCGCGAGACTTTGCATGGGGAACCTGGGTGGGCCATGTAGACGCGCCACCGCCAGGTGAGCCTGGGCAGAATTTAACAAGAGGGAGCTGGTGGGGCCCGTGAGAAAACGAGAAACCTGCCTCGGACGGAGCCTTGGAGGTGCATCTTCCTTAGAGACAGCCTGGCTCAATGTGACACCCCCTTCCTTTCTGCTTAGGGAATGTTTACACAACTCTGAAGCCACTTTATGGCCAACACAATGAAGTCTTTCCTACCATCCCTAGGGACCCAGGATTCACCTTGCCCCAGGATGATTAAAATGGAAACAAACATTCCCTCAAGCTGAGAGCTTCGTTGTGACACCTTGCAGAATGGGGAAGCCCAAGGCCCTGAAACACAACAGTGTAAGATCCTGACAAAATAGAGCTGCAATGGAGGCCAGTAAAATCCTCAGGTGTGCCTTTTACCAGAGACCCAAACTCCACCTCACCTATGAAGACCTGTATGAAAATGAGGAAAAGTATGTAGAAACAGAGATGAGTAAACGAAGTTTTAGAAAAAGAAATAATTTACATTGTGACCATCCTGCTGACAAAACAATAAATTCCAGGCTTGTTATAAACATAAGCTAGTGTCACAACTAGATGTTTCTTTCAAAGGGCTACTTTCCTTCATTCAGATCTATTTTCAAATTCCTGGGTAAGTATTTGTTTTTACTTTTACATAAGAAAATACAGAACATAAAATAGTAATGAAATTCTGATAAATATAAAAGAATGTGTGACATGTTTAAAAAACACATGTATTTTTCTTTTTCTTTTTTTTAAAGATTTTATTTATTTATTTGACAGAGAGAGAGCAGGAGAGCACAAGCAGGGGGAGCAGCAGAGGGAGAGGGAGAAGCCGGCTCCCTGCTGAGCAAGGAGCCTGATGCAGACCAATCTCAGGACCCTGGGATCATGACCTGAGGCAAAGGCACTCACTTACACTGACTGAGCCCCCCAGGCAACCCTGTTTTTCTACTGAATGAGATGTGTCTTGAGGGTAAATTCCTAGAATTTGGATTGCAGGATCAAAAGGTTAACATATATCTAGTTTGTTTAGAAATTTCAAAATTCTCAGCAAAGATTTTACCAATAAGCTTTTCCTATTAGATATGTAGGACTTCACATTTCTCTATACTCTTGCTAGCAGAGTGATGTTATTATAGTTCTTAATTTTTGCCATTCTGATAGGTATGATAGCTTTTGTGTGCATCTTTTGATTATGAGTGATTTTGAACATATTTCCATATTTTCAAATCACTTTAAATGTTTTTAGTAAATTATCTATGTTTTTTATCTATTGTTATGGAGGGTGGAGGTTTTTTGTATATTTTTCTCACATTTTTAGAAGTTCCCTATTACTGGAGTATTAGTCTTTTATCAATGATATAGTAACTTATATTCTCACTTTCCATTTTTTTTGTCTATTGTTTTGGTGGTTTTGCTATGCAATTATTTTTTTTAGTTGTATGCAGTTAAATATATCACATTTTTATTTTATTATATATGAATTCCAGTAGATTAAGAAGGCAGATGCAATAGCAGTTTATTTGTTTATATATATATATATATATATATATATATATATATATATATATATATAAATTTTAAGAAAAAGCCCCAAATCAATACAGTTTTAATTGCATCTTTGAAATATCACAAATAAGTCTGCAAAATCATCCAGTCGTCTTGTGTTTTTCTGTAGCTGGGCAACTTAGATCTTATTCATCAGCCTGTGAACTGTTCCTTTTCCAGAAACATACACCATTTGAAAATTTTCTGATATCCCTGGTTTTAACTGTTGTGACTTACTGAATCAAAGCAGCTGAGTTTGATACAAATTCAAGATCATTTCCTTCAAGAATTAACTCATCTTTCTGGGCTTGAGACGTTGGACAAGCAATAGGTGGCCTCATCCGAGCCCTGCAGATATATTTTTCACCCAACAAATTTCAGATTTCAGCAAAAGAACCATTCTCCTGAATAACAAGGTTGATGGGGAAGTGAGCATAGACAGACTCATCTTGTAACAGAAGCCCAGTGTAACACCCTTGACCATGTTCTGTACATGACTGCAGATCCTGTGGACAGTAGTCAGCTCTTTTCTATTTCCCACCATTTGTCAATTCAGAGCCTCTTCTTTTTCTTTCCAAAGAGACTGAGTTCTACACTGTGATTGACGTCCCTCTCGAGGGTTGCTCTGGGGCCCTTCACAATAACAGCGCGTCCCTTCAGAGTGATGTTGACATTTTCCGGAATGTCGACAGTCTGATTGCTGAGAATGGTCTTCGTTCTCACAAAAGATGTGGCAAAAGGCAATAGCATTTTTGATGGTTTTCATCCCTTCTTGAATATATGTTTCCATCTGTTTCATTGACTTTCAACCTGAAGTACATCCTTTAGCATTTCTCGTAGCTCAAATGAGTTGGAGAGCACTTTCTCCAGTTTTGTTTATGATACAATATCTTTACTTCTTTTTTCCTGAGACAACTGTTTCTTTTTTCTGAGGCAACCCTCAGGCTAGAAGTGGTTTATAGAATTCTGGGTTGACAATTTGGGTTTTTTGTTTTTGTGTGTCTTTTTTGTTTTTGTTTTCATTCATCACTAAAGATGTTGCTCCAATATCTTCTAAAATTCATTATTTTTGAAGCCATGAATCCTTTGAAATATTGTTCCATTGATATGCAGTGTAATTTTCCTCTCACTGCCTTTAGATGTTATCTTTATCTTCGATTTACTTTGTTTTGACTATGGTGGGTCTAGTCATAGTTTTCTTCCTTTTTAACCTGCTTGAGGTTTCCTGAAGTCATTGAATAAAAATTAAACTGACAATAAATTTGAGAAAATTTCAGTGATTATTTTTATAGTATCTTTTCAGTCCTATTTTTCCTTTTTTTCCCTCTGGGACTCCAAATATGAGTATGTCATTGCCCTCAAATATTACTAATGTTCTGTTCAGTTTTTTAATCATTTCTATGTATCTGTCTTCAGGTTCACATCTTTTTGCTGTTCTCATTCTGCTATAACAATACCAGACAATTTTGTTTGGTCTTTTTAAATTTCAAATATTGCTTTTTTTTTTAGTTTTATTTGTTAATTAAAATTTTCTATTTTTCAGTTATTGCAGAATAATTATTCTTTATGTCACAAAGCATGATTATAATAGCTGGTCTAAAATCCTCGGGGGTCTCAGAGCCTCTGGGTGGCTCAGTTAGTTAAGTGGTAAACTCTTGATTTCAGCTCAGGTCATGATCTAAGGGTTGTGAGATCTAGCCCTCATTGGGCTTCGCGCTCAGTGGGGAGTCGGCTTGTCTCCCTCTTCCTCTGCTCCTCCCCCGGCTCCCACACATGCTCTCGCTCTGTTTCTCTCTCTCAAATAAATAAATAAATCTCTAAAATCCTGGTCTCCCAATTCCAAAATCTGGATCTTCTCATCGTCAATCTCATATAATCATCTTTAGTGCTGAATATAGCTTCCATCTCCGTTATTTCTTCCTGTATTAAGAATTTTAGATTGTATCCTGGACTTTGCAAAAATCATTTTGTGGGAATCTGGATTCTGTTATTTTACCCCAAAGAAGCTTTCTGTTTTGTTTGTTTTTAGTAGGTAATTACCTTGATTGTTCTCAGATTTAAAGTCAAACTTTTGAGTAGCCGGCCAACTTTGTTCAGCGACTGTGTCTTCCTGTATACAAGTAAGACTCTGTCCTTAGCATTTGTGTTTAGATTTGGCCAGATAGTTGGGCAGAGTTGTGCCCCAATCTCTTACACTCCCCTTTCCCAGTTTCCTCGTTCACTTTCCAGTGAAGTTTTCTCTCGTAGTGGCCACATGCAGTACATGTGAGACCTGCCATCTCGGCTAGAAGTGGTGAGAACAACCAAGTCCCCAGGGCCATTCCCTCTTCCAATGAGGAATTTCTTTGAAAGTTCTGCTACCTTTGAATCATTTTTCAGTGTCTTCCAGTGGTAGTGTGCTTGTTTACTTACCATTTTTTATAGTTTCTCTGGAGTTTATAGCTGCTATCTGTAAATGGGTTGATAAAACCAGAGCTTACTTGGCTTTTAGGAGAAGTGAATTCAAGCATGTATATCCAGGATAAAGACAAGATTTCAAAGTAATCACATCACCCTAACTAGAAGAGATTTTCCTAATGCTCTCTCACATATTTCTTTTCTCCAAGCTTTCATTGACTTTTTAATAATTTACACTTTGTGTTATTTTCTCCCCCCAGATTTACTGAAGTATGACTGAGATTGGGTAATACGGACATTTTAACAATATTAATTCTCCCAGTCCATGAACATGATAAATCTTACCATTTATGTATGTCTCCTTCGATTTCTTTCATAAGTGTTCTCTAGTTTTCAGTGTATGGATCTTTCACCTCCTTGGTTAAATTTATTCCTAAGTATTTTACTATTTTCAATGCTATTGTGAGGGGATCATTTTCTTTATTTCTTTTTTCAGAAATTTCATTGTTAGTGTATAGAAATGCAACAGATTTTTGTATGTTGATTTTATATCCTGCAACTTTACTGAATTCATTGATTATTTCCAACAGTTTTTACTGGAGTCTTTAAGGTTTTCTATATGTAAAATCATGTCATCTACAAAGACAGACAGTTTTACTCCTTCCTTTCACTTCTTATTTTTGCCTGATTGCTTCTGACTAATACTATGATAAATAGGAATGGTGAGAGTGGGCACTCTTTGTCTTGTTCCTGCTCTTAGAAGTAAAGCTCTCAGTCTTTCACCATGGAGTATGATGTTAGCTGTGGGCTTGTCATATACACTTTATTATGTTGATGTACATTCTTTCCATACCCAATTTGTTCAGTTTTTATGGAAAAGAAATGGAATTTTGTCAAAGGCTGTTTCTGTTTCTATTGAAATAATCATGTGATTTTCATTCATTCCATCAATGTGGCATATCAATTTATTGATTTTTGCATATTTGACCATCCCTGTATCCCAAGGATGAATCCAATTGATCCTTTTAATATGCTGTTGAATTAATTTGCTAGTATTTTGTTGAGAATTTTTACATCTATATTCAGGATATTGACCTATAATTTTCTTTTCTAACAGTGTCCTTATCTGACTTTGGTATCAGGGTTAGGCTGGTTTGTAAAATGGGTTTGGGAGTGTTCCCTCCTCTTCCGTTTTTTGGAAGAGTTTGAGAAGGACTGGTGTTAATTCTTTAAATGTTTGATGGAATTCACCAGTGAAACCATCTGGTTTCAGGCTTTTCTTTATTAGGAGTTTTTTTTTAATTACTAATTCAACCTTCTTACTTATTATTGGTATATTCAGAGTTTACATTTCCTCATGAAGTAGGTTGTATATTTTTAGAAATATATTTCTTTTTTTTTTTAAAGATTTTATTTATTTATCTGAGAGAGACAATGAGATAGAGAGAGCATGAGAGGGGGGAGGGTCAGAGGGAGAAGCAGACTCCCTGCTGAGCAGGGAGCCCGATGCGGGACTCGATCCCGGGACTCCAGGATCATGACCTGAGCTGAAGGCAGTCGCTTAACCAACTGAGCCACCCAGGTGCCCTGAAATATATCTATTTCTTTTAGGTTGATCAATTCGTTGGTATATTGTTTAGAGTAGTGTCTCATAATCTTTTGTATTTCTGTGGCATCGATTGTGATTTCTCTTTCATATCTGCCTTTATTTGAATCCTCTCTTTTTTCTTGGTAAGTTTAGCTAAAGTTGTTGAATTTTGCCTTTCAAAGACAGTATTAGTATTAGTATATTAGTAACAACATTGTTAATCTTTTCTATTGTTTCCTATTCTCTCACTTATTTCTATACAAAACTTTATTATTTTCTTCCATCTACTATATTTGGGCTTAATTTGTTCTTCTTTTTCTAGTTCCTTGAGAATATTAGGCTGTTTACTTGAGATCTTTTTTTTTTCTTAATGCAGTCATTTATAGCTATAATCCTTTCTCTTACAACTGCTTTTGATGCATCTATTAAGTTTTTGTATGTTGTGTTCCATTTCAGTTGTCTCAAGATATATTTTTATACCCTTTCTTAAATTTCTTCTTTGGTCAATTGGTATTTCAGTATTGTGTTGTTTAATTTCCATGTATTTGTAAATTTTCCAGCTTTCCTCCTGTTATTGATTTCTATTGAAATCAATAGGTGGGCAGAGTCACTGGCTGGTACTACTACAAACAGGAATGCAGTCCACCATGATCTGAATACTGGTTTCTCTTAAGTCCCTGTCTTCTGTGTCTTTCCCTGATTCCCATTTATTGAGCCCCACAGATTCTTCAGTGATCTCTATGAGGAAAGACCTAAGTGAGCCTCCTGAGCAGCAGCTCACAATGTGGGGAAGCTGGATATGTATCTTGGGCTCTCTTTTCCCAGCAGACAACCTACAGGCCTTGGGGGCCCCACTTGGTGTGGCAATGTGCCAGCCTTGGGGATGGTGATGCAGTCAGAATGTAGCCTCTCCTCTTACACACTTGTAATGCTTTTCTTCTCAGTCTCTGGAGTCCAGAGAGGTGCTGCAGCTTCTTCTCCAGGTTCTGATAGATTCATAATGGTATCTTGTCTACAAATCATTGCTAGTTGTTCTTCTTATGAGAAGGACTGGAGTCAGGAATGACTCGTGTCACCATCTGCCTTGAGGACTGATGGATGATGCACTGTGGTAGACATTGTGGACACAAATCTGAGTAATGGTCGTCTTGTCCTAGGCAGCCTGTTGCCTCAACACTGTCCCGCATAAGAAGGAGCTGAATTTCCTGAAGGACAAGCTGGAGGCAGAGCCAGAACACCTTGTTTTGGTATTACAGCTGCCACCAAAGGCTACCATAGTCCTTCATGAACTTTAGCACAAAACCAGTATCATTCAATTAAAAAAAAATGAGTAATTGTATTGCTAGTTGCAGAAGTTCAATCAGACTCCTGTTCATATTTGAAAGTAAGTTACCTACAACAATGCCTTATAAAATAATATTTCAATGACTATGAGAGATATCATAATTACAATAGCAAGTAACCTAGGTTCATCTTTACTGAAAAACTTGGGCAAAATAATATTTGATCAGTAATGATCTGGGCTCAGGAGGGGATGTATACATCATGAATCCTCTAAATTATTCAATTTGGAAGTTACTCTATCATTTCTATGAAAGATAATAAAGAACTAGGAACAAAAATGGCAAGTTAATGATGAGACCTGGGATTTATCCTCTTTTTGTGTTAATTGTCCCAGTTCTTTACTGAAAGTGAGAGAATAAATACCAAGGATGCTTGTGTGCTGTTTGAATAGGATTGAGTCTCCATGCTAAATGGTCCCTATAAACTGCAGAGTACATATCATTAGCATATCAAAAATCTTCCAAATTGTTTGGGAGATTTTTTTTTTTCCTTTATTGCAGGTTTTCTCCAGAAGGGGCTAGTAAGGAGTGTATCCTGGGATATGAGTTTTATTTCAAGGTTATTGAAGAACCAGAGGAGTGCAGTCAAATGGAAAATGATGAATAATATCCAGAGGGCACTGCTAGCAAGATAATCCCATAGTTTCAAGACACTTGAAAAATGATGATAAGGAAATATTTTAAATCTAGTTTGTTGCTAGTGAGAATAAAAATATATTTTGACAGACAACCAACTCTTATCCAAGTTTAATTATAAATTGTAGATTTGTAACCTTCCAATTCACAATGAATACTTATCATTTTGCAGTAATTAATGCTCATGTTCAGGAGATATTTAGTCTTTAAAACACAGATTTGTTGCCTAAAATAAAATAAAATAATTTAAGACTGTTTAGGATATTCGTGTATTTTTGTTTAATAGTGAGTATTTGGGTCATTTTCAGCATGTTTTTACATACCAATTTTACAAATGACAATGTACCATTTGGAAAGATCACCTATGTAACTTAGGTATTATTTTTTGTATAGCCAGACTAGGTGATTGCAAAGATTCCTTCCAACTCTAAAATTATTTCTTTCCAGTTGAACATTATTATTTACTGTTGTCTAGAAATTAAAAACTCCCAACCTGATAAAGTAGCTTTAAGATACACTAACTCATAAATATACACAAAATAATAATTGAAAATGTGAATAAACATGTACTCATCAACCAACTAAAGAAAAAAACATTATTTTACTTTATCTTTGGAGACCCCTGTGTAGCTCTGAGAAAGTTACCCTTACATTCAGTGTCTAAGACTCAGCCAGAGGGCGCCTGGGTGGCTCAGTTGGTTAA